TATTTAAACAAGGAATTAAAGATGATATTTGTCATTTCATTGTTAAAATACTTTCTGATAGTTTAGTGTCTCTGTGATCTGATGAGGAAACTCTGTGTGTGTGTGTGTGTGTGTGTGTAGTTTAAGATCCTGAACGTGCCGCTGTCGTCTCATCTGGCGGCGAATCACTTCAACCAGCAGCAGGCGGAGCAGGAGGAGCGCATGCGCATGAAGAAGCTGACGCTGGACATCAACGAGCGGCAGGAGCAGGAGGACTATCAGGGTGAGCCGCTGACGCTGCTTTCTCAGGCCCTGTCTTCACTGTGCAACCGGAAACGCTAGTGCTGTCAAACGATTAATCACATCCAAAATAAAAGTTTTGTTTACATATAATATGTGTGTGTGTGCTAGGTTATAAACCTAGGATATAAATACACAACATGCATGTATGTATTAAACAAACCATACACCAATGGAAAGCTTATTTATTTCACAAAATTGACCCTTATGACTGGTTTTGTGTTCCAGGGTCACATATATTTAATGTATATAATATAAATGACTGTATATATAAATATAGACATGTAAATATATTTATATGTGTGTGTGTGTGTGTATTTATATATACATAATAAATATACACAGTACACACATATATTATGAAAACAAAAACATTTATTTTGTAGGCGATTAATTGTTTGACAGCAGTAAAAACACATGTCACATGGCCATTCAATGCAGGTGCAACCATAGACATGTATAGGTAGATTCCCTATTATTTAGATGGCAGACGTGTCTACATGCTTGGAGCGGTCGAATGGGGAATCTACCTACACATATCTATGGGCACAACAGTGAGCATGATGTTAATGTTTACACGGTCGTCAAGGATACACAGAGCGAAATGTGGGCAGCCTCGCCATCGCTTTCAAAAGTCTCCATTTTGGTCCGTTTACACTGAAACACAGCGTTTTCAAACTGAAACGGGTTCTGCAGCGTTTTCAAAAGTCTCTGTGTTTCGAGGGTCAAAAACGCCGGAGTAGTGTAAACGAGCGTTTTAAAATGAAAATGCACCAGTGTAAACAGGGCCTCAGTGTGTCTCAGCTGCTGATGGAGCGTCTGCTCGTCTGTGCTTTCAGAGATGATGCAGTCGCTCGCTCAGAGACCCGCTCCCGCAAACACCAACAGAGAGCGCCGGCCGCGATACCAGCACCCCAAAGGAGCACCCAACGCAGACCTCATCTTCAAGACCGGCGGCAGGTCAGACTCACATACACACACACAAACACATGTAATTATGAGTAAAAATAACACGAATAAAACTTTTTACAAAATGGATAGTCCCAACTTTCTAAATAGATTTGACTTTGCTTATCATACAATATGTCAGTTGCAAAGCATTTTGGGATAGTAATGCCCTAGCAAAAACCTACAACTAGGGATGCACTATTAAAACCAAAATCATGAAATGACTTCTCAAATCACAAAGACTGCATTTTATTTTACTGTGAAATATAACAGTAGTAATAATTATTATTTTGCCTAACATTTTCATTAATTTTTATTTTATTATATATTGTATTTATTATTGTATTTATTTTATTATTATTCTAAAAATAAATAATAATAACAATAACTTATTTTATCATTTTATTCATTACTGCTATTATTTTATAGCAATATTGATATGTAATCAACATTTTTGTCCAATTTGTGCTGCCCTACAAACAAGCACAACAAACCTGGAGCTTTATTTAAAAATATAACAATTGTACTTGCAAGTTTGATCTATAAAAACAATAAAATTAGTAAATAAAAAAATCACCATTACGTTTTTCTCCGAATTGTGCAACCTAGATAGGCAACTCACTGACCCCTGACCTTTGGCCCTGTGCACTGCAGGAGACGCTGATGATGTCAGACCGAGCAAACGATGAGTCAAAGACAGCAAGAGAGACATAGAGAGATGGACAGCGGTGCTGAGCTGGATCCGAGACACACCCACCTGACTGCAGCGTCACCACGGCAACCAGAGACGAGCCGCATCAGCTGGTGGACACGGATGGAAACGCACACACACACACACACACACACATATGCGAGACTGGAATGTCTCTGCATTGACACACACACAATGCGGAGGTGGTTTTATTGTGTCAGGTACAGTTTGATGGTTCGATAGCGAGCGAACCGAGACTCTTAACGGAGGAAAACTCAAGTGTTTTTGTTCTTCAGACAAACTTTGGGACGTGTTCTTGTTCTTTCTCCTGCTGTTTATTCTCTTTAACCTCAGCCGGTCCGCAGCGATCGTTCCTGAGCGAGACGTGCATGGGCTGAACGCAGCTGTTAACCTGTTCGCTGTTGCAGTAAAGTGACTTCCTGTGACCGTGAGAATGTCTCTCTTTGTGTCTGTGCTCTCAAACACACTCACCAGCTTGTTTTACAGCCGTCGTGAGTCGCTGAACTCACTAACTAGTGCAGCTGATCAGAATGCAGTCGAACCGGACGCAAACACACGCCTGTGGGTGGAACAGGTAAGATCTAACCGAGGTTTCTGGTGATACGCTTGAGCCGAACACCAGGAAACGGGAACGTCTGTTTCAAATTTGATGAAGAACAACTTAAATCGAAAACGGAGGATGTTTTAGTACTAGATTTGCAGCTCATTCTGTCCAGACACATTATTAAAACTCATAAAACCACAATATGATTACATTCAGACAAAATAATGTACTTGAAATATTACTGTAATAAAACATTAGGGATTTAATTGTCAAAAAAAGTCTTTTCTTTCTAAATTTCTTAATGCATAGATTTTGTGAGATCCACCTTTCTGCATTTTTTTGATTGAGTTCTTCTCTATTCTGTGTTTTTTGTTTGTATTGTGCTTTGAATTGGTGATTTTTCTAGTCTTTTCATTGACTTTATTGATTAAATGTCACTGTCAAACTTGGTGAACGTTTGTGAAGTTTCTATTTTGCGTCTCCAAACTCAACATTATCTGTAACATTCGGTTGCAACTGAACATCTTCGGACACCATGATGAGTTTCAATGAATTTATTCAGAAACAATCGCTGAAAATTAAAGATCTTCACCAATGCAAGAAAATATACATTACACAGAGGTGGAAATAAACTCTTGTTTTGTTTCGTGTGTGTGTGTTTATATAGTGTCACATGCTCACAATCATGCATTCTGTATCCTTCAATAACTGCTTCAATAAAAGCAAAAAACCGGAGTCGCAAGAAAAACAAAAAATCAAACGCACGCATACATAAACTAACACTCATGCTCATTCACCCTGAAAATAACACACTACAGGTAAAAAAAAACAACAGCAGCATGTGATTGGTGGTGATTTCAGTCCCATGTGACTAACAGCATGTTCCAGATCTAGATTTGGATGGCTGTGGTTTAGTGTGGGAGGAACTAAACATACATTTACAAGACCTTCTGCATGTTTGAAGGCTGCGGCATGCTGGGAGAGAAAGAAGGGAAAGATCTCCACCTAACCAAACCCACAATTCAGCATCCAGAGAATAAAAATACATTATCATACAAACTAGAACTACCTGCTGAAATAAACATGAGACGACGTGTAAGATATTTCTCTAGGAAGACCCTTGAGGTATTTCTTGCGTAGAGTCTGGGTTCTTCAGATATAACACAAAAAAGTAGAAGATACTAAAACATAAAAATTAAAGAAACATGAAAGTGAAAGTAAAAATGGAAAAGCAAACTAAATGAAAGTGATAGTAAAAATGTAAAGTAAACGTAAAAAAAGTGAAACAAAGTCAAAATAAACAAGAAAATAGAAAAAAATTAGTAAAATAAAACAGTAAAAATCCAAAAACTGTCAAAACAGTAAAATTCCAAAAACTAACCAAAAGTCGAAATAAAACAGTAAAAATCAAACTTAAAAGAAAAAAACAGTAGAAATCCTAAAAATAAAAAAAGTCAATTAAGTTAATTAGTTAATTGGTTTTTGAAATTTGCTTTTTGTATTATTAAATGTAGCAAAAATATAGGAATTAGAAGCATAACCGCAGTGACTCGCACAGAGTCATCAGTCACATGACAATTAAGACTCAAGTGATTGGCTCAGTTGTGGAACCATGTGCCCATTAAGCAAAGATGGCTGCAACCAGGCTGTGTGCTTCCAAAGACAGCATGCTCAACAACTTAAGCAACTACGTTTAAAATGAAGGTATATTGTTTAGATATGTTTGGGTTCTTTAAAGATTTGATTATTTTGATCTATAACTTCTAAACAGACAACAACAAAAAAAAACAGCTGACACCAAACAAGATGTGTGAGTGTTAGTTGTGACTTTTTCTCCAAACTTGCAGCTGAAACTCAATCAAGAAGTCTCACTGCTGTCCAACAGATGATAATAAATCCTGCTCTGACCTTCTGAACTTCTGGAAATCTTAAGGTAATGCCAATATTGTTTGTGCATATATATACAGTATATATATATATATGATTGGTTGAAATCAGTGCTGGATAGTAACTGATTATCTTTAAATCTGTATCAAAAATTAAATACTTTATATTGTTTTAAAATACTCTTAATTAGACTACAGTTACTTTAGTATAGATTAAATATTCACAAAATGGCAGTAAACTACTCACAATGTATTAATTCTCCCTAATAATCCACTATTTACAGACATCATTTCACTTTTAAGAAGCATTTTCTCAATATTGCATATCTAATCACCATGTTCCATTAATATATTTTGTTAATTTCCTACCGTAAATATATCAAATCTTAATTTTTGATTAGTAATATGCATTGCTAAGAGCTTCATTTGGACAACTTTAAAGGCGATTTTCTCAACATTGTGATTTTTATGCACCCTCAAGATTCCAGATTTACAAATAGTTGTATCTCGGCCAAATATTGTCCTATCCTAACAAACCATACATCAATGAAAGCTTATTTATTCAGCTTTCAGATGATGCATAAACCTCAATTTCACAAAATTGACCCTTATGACTGGTTTTGTGCTCCAGGGTCACATTTAAGACGTGTTCCTCAGCAGTCCTAGTTTGCGTAGTGCATCACGTCTGGCCTCATCTGTGGCTCCTCTGCCAGAAAACTGCACCGTTACTCCCTGAGTGCGGAAGGAAGGCTTTGGCAGAGATTTGCGGCGTAAATCCGGGGACAGCGGAGCGGGGCGCGACCCGGCGGGACTCAGCAGACTTTGGTGTCGTGATGGTTTTGGAGCCGGAGCGGGCGGCTGCTTCACGGGCGCTTCGGAGTGCGACGCTTTTCTCTTGGGTAAGTCTTCATTTGAAGTCCTGTTTGAGCTGGAGTTTTCCTCTTTTACTGGGGTGATGGTCTTGGTTTGGGTGTGATGGTATGGCTGGGATGGAGTCATGACTCGCGATCTGCCGCCGAAGTTGTTGATCTGAATCTCCGAAGACTCTGTTTTGGGCAATGAAGATGAGACGCACTCGCTCCTGAAGGATGTTGTTGGGTTTAATGTGATGCTCTTACCGCCATAGCTGTTAAAATCACTGTGTGTGACTTCGGCACTCGTCAAAGTTGGTGCAGGGCTAGATTTGGTTTGGCAGTGGTCTGTAGTGTCTATCATGCTAGCGTTAGCTGGATTGGGAATGTTGAACGTGGTGCCGGTCTTGACGTTTTCCGAATACCTTGGAGATGAATGCATGACAGATTGCCTCTGAGCGAGTCCGACTTTTGAAAGCGCCTCCATCCTATTGGATCCTAGCCGGACATGTAAAAAAACACAGAGTTTTAGTTCAATTCAATTCAATTACACATTATTGTTGGAATTTCTTCCAAAAGTTGTCTTGCATCTCAAAGCGTGTCCCACATCAGTTCACATCAATACACTTACACCAATTTAAACAAACAAACAATAAACACACCTTAATGCAAAAACCAACAATACAAAAATATATACACACACTGCCAGAGTGCATTAATATAGTAGTACTTTCTATTTTACTGAACCCAGAGGCCTGCTTTAATTTTACAGACTGATAAACAAAAGATTTACGTGTTCTGTTCAATCTGGTATATGCAACTCTAAACCTTCTGATATTCCTCATAGACAGACATAATATTTTCTGACAGGTTCAGCATTTTTTTTTTTTTTTTGTATACAGATCTTGAAAACTTGGCTCTAAGCACTTGACCCACAATTTTAGAACAAATAGAACAGAACAAATAGTGCAGTTTTACTTATTTATATTGATTTAATTATAAATTATTTAATTTATAGGTAGAAATTAAGTCTGGTTGACTTTTAATTTGGTTTAAGTTTTTCACTTTAATATTTTAAATATTAATATTTAATGGGTTTAATGTGATGCTCTTACCGCCATAGCTGTTAAAATCACTGTGTGTGACTTCGGCACTCGTCAAAGTTGGTGCAGGGCTAGATTTGGTTTGGCAGTGGTCTGTAGTGTCTATCGTGCTAGCGTTAGCTGGATTGGGAATGTTGAACGTGGTGCCGGTCTTGACGTTTTCCGAATCTCTCGGAGATGAATGCATGACGGACTGCGCTCGCCTCTGAGCGAGTCCGAGCTTCGAAAGCGCCTCCATTCTAGACTTGTCTGGCGTCGGATCTCGAAACGAAATGCTCCGCATGGGAAGGTTGCGCACGCAGGCCGGTTCTCCGCCATCCAAAGGGTGCGCCGAGCCAGAGAGGTTAGCGAGCATCTGCGCCCGGCGCTCCTGAACGCTGACGGCCTCAGTGGCGATCGAGTGGGGAATGTGTTCGCGGCTGCTCCGCAACATGCTGATGCTGTCGGGAACACGCGTGGGTTTGGCGTGAGTCGGAGGGCCGTGTTTGGCCGAGGGGTTCGGCGGCGACTCTAGACTGCATCTGCGCTGGAGCAGCTGCGATGCAGATGTGCCGCTGGCGCCCTGGTGCTCGGCGATCTTGCTGGCGATTACAACCGGGGTGGGAACTGAACCTGCGGGCGGCTGGTGTCCAAATTCCTCTTGCGGCCCGTCTGGGACATCCAGGTCACGTTTTGGCTTCAGTTCAAAATGGTACTCTGGGGGTATAATCAGCTCTTGGAAATCTGACAAGGCAAACACATTTACAATTGCGTTAATGGACCGCTGATGGTGCAAAAATTTAATCTTGTGTAGTGACAACACGATGTATAAATGTGGCCCTGCAGCACAAAAGCAGTCGAATATCTCTTTGGTTTTGAGACTTTAGTCTTTGCAACTTTACAGATCTTCTTTATGCACCAAGAGCTTGTAACACTCCAAAGAGAAAGGAAAAATTGAAATCGCATCATATGACCCCTTTAATCAATTTTTAAAAATGGACCCTTATGACTGGTTTTGTGGTTCAGGTTCACAAATATGTAATGACAACAATATGACATCTAAAGAAATTTATTTTAAGAAATGTAATTTAAAGGTGTCAATTGCTTTACTGGCGAAAATATTGGGTCTCATTCACTATGTGTGAATATGCACAAATCTGTGTGTGTGTGAATTCAGCATACAAGTGTTTTCATTAGCATCATGATTCATAAATAACTTTCATACTTTTTAATTTTTACTTTTCATTAACTTTCATTAATATAAATATAAATACTGTATATTTCATCATCAGCTGAATGCAACAACCATGTAGAGAGATAACTAAAATGTCTAAGCTGTGCCAAAAAAAATCTAAGAAAACTTCACATTCAAGTTGACTAAAATTTAAATTTGACTAAACTTCAATTAAGGCAGCATTAACATTTGCATATGTGTTGTGAACAGGTTTGTTATTAACTGAAAATAAAACTATTAAAAACATTTTTGTTAATTGAAATTGGAATTAAATTATATTATAAATCAATATAATTAAGTATACATTAAAATATTAGATGAAAAACTTGTTAAATGTTAAAAATGTTAACCAAACTTAATTTCTACCTATAAATAAATAAATAAATAAATAAATAAAACTGAACTCAAACTAAAATATATATATATATATAAGTGCTGTCAAACGATTAATCGCATCCAAAATAAAAGTTTCACATTATATGCGTGTACTGTATA